CAATTCGAAATAAAATTTTCATTGTTTTAATTTACCTCATTCATAATTTAAACAAAAATTTCAAAGTTATAATCAAAGTTTGCTTGCGTTTTTAAAAATGATACTTATTTATTTTCTACGTCGGGGAACAGATTACCGACCTAAATGAAATTCCACTTTGATTTTGTCAGCTTAAAAGAATCATAAAAAAAAGTAGAATTATTTCGCAAAAATTTTCTGTTTGCGGCGTCTTATTGAAGTTTGTAACAAAATCACATAACAGGCAACAACTCATATTAGTTCCGTCACGCACCGCTAGATGGCATTGGCGTCGAAATAGCAAATTCTGCTTCGCGGTGTTAAGATTTTCCCTCGCGGAATGACTACTGGCGGCGATGCGAACGTGAATGGAATCCAACTTACTACGCATCTAGCTCTGCTCCCTTGCTTGGAACTCCGCTTTAGATCGTTACCGTTGAACCTACTGCACTGTGCTACGCTTCTAGCGATGCTGCCGTATTGGAACTGTGCTTTAGAACGTAACACGTAGTTGTTGCACCCTGAGCCGCTTCCTAATTGGAACGCGCGTACGGGACCTCGACTACGTGCCGATTAGGGGGAGTCCTTTCCCACTGCACCACCGACGTTGTACATACTGTATATGTTGTCAAATAAAATCACCATATTGGAAAAACCTGGTTTCCCTCTGTCACCCCATAAGAACTTACTACAAGTTTTAATTTGAGTTTCTCGATTATATTGTGCAATAAATTATCATGAATTAAAATTATTTTAAAAACCAATTTTTTATTTGTTATCAAGAGAAATATAACCTTGTAACTAATTAATTACAATCTAGCTTGATTAACAATACTAATAAGCAATTTAAATATAACATAATTCCCTAAAATCGAACGCGTGATGATTTTCAAAGCATTAAATCAAAATTTTATATGGAAATTGCTTGTACAAGGCCTATTTTACCTAATGTGTCTTTAAATACATTACGTAGTAATGAAGTCATTTCTATACAAATGTGGCGTACAATTTTCGACATCCAATGCAGGTGACGACCTCCGTAACCCAGCGTTTAGCATTATGGGCGCTGTATTAAGAGATCCTATGTTCAATTCCCGATAATACCAATTTAGGATACGAACTTTTCTAAATTGCTTGTGGTCTTTTAAGTAGTGCCATTGAATTTCCTAGTCTTATACCAGCCAATTGGTGTAGTTGTCTGTCGTATCCTACATTTCAATTAGAAGGTTTAAACAATAGTTCGCCACACTGGTCCAATGCGATTCGGGAACTTCACAGGTTTTCTAAGGGTTGTGAACCTTCTTCGACTTGCAGGTTTTATCAAGATGTTTTTCTTCTGTTACTAATCGTACACAAATGAACATAACTTAGAAATTAAAGTCGTAGGTAAATGCCGATTCGAACCATGGACCTTTGAATTGAAAAGCAACCGTGCTCCCACTAGGCTACCATGTAAAAAACGAATAATTTATTCCGTAGGTAAAATAAATAACATTTGAAAACGTCATTTTTTAAGCTACTTGCTTGTACACTGTGCTGACTTAACTAAGAAAAACGAGCAAGAATATCTATGGATTGGTCTTTTCAAATAAATTTAAATGTCGTGGAATACACTTTGAATCAAATTTGTGTGGAATCTAGACCCATGTCGTCTTTCATTCATGGATCATTATTACGCGGTTATTGCCAAACTGAAGGTTTCTCGTTGGGACACCATTTCCTATAATTTCACTTGTATTCAAGTCAATTGAGGTAATGTGATCACAATGGAGAATGTACGCGGATTTATCTGGTTATTTATATGCAGGTAAATAACCGCCTTGGTCGTATAAAGTTTTAACAAAGTTTTCTCGGTTGGCTGCAGATGCAGGTTGGTAATAATGATAAACTTATTTGGTTGTATACGAGTGTATAAATGTCTTGCTCGTATAAAGTTTGAATTAAGTTTTCTTGATTGGCTGCAAATGTAAGTTGGTAATAATGTCCGTGGATGTATGTATGACTAAAAGCATTTTTCGCAATAAACTATGTTGAGCTCATTGTCCATTCTAAGATGAGTTCTTTTAGTACAGAAACTTCGTAATTAAGGTTTCGACATTTTTTTAATACTACGGCAGATTTGATGTTGTAAAATGTTTGATGATTTAGAATAATGTTTGTTACATACTTGAAGTAAAATAAGTAGTAAAACATCACGTTTGTGAATGTTTAGTTGCAATACACAGTGATAGACAAGCGCCCGGGCTTAAATCGGGTTAAAACCCATAAAAGCTATTTACAACTAAATATTTCGAGTCTTAATTATTATAACAAAGATAAAAAAGTAAGAAAAATTAATTCGATCCGGCTGGACTCGAACCTGCACCCTCAGGTAATCCGTGTCAGATACTCTGCCAATTAAGTTACGGAACGAACCAGGGGACCCTGCGATTTTTCTGGGAGTGTTGTTTTTGGTTTTTAACGGTTTCTTCACGTAGCGCCATCTGTGAAAAAAAAACACAGATAGAAACTCCTTAAGGAGCTGAACGGTATATTACCATGGACTGTTGACTACTAGAGAAAAAAAACAGAAATTGGGATGGCAGTATATGTACTTAAGCTTCAAAAAATACATACAGAGTACAACACTTCCATCTAGAATGATTAAAAATAAGAGGTAAAAAAATTATAACGAAATAATAAAATATTTTTTTTATCTAAGTCGCGTGTGTTTGTTTTTCAAGCAGACCAACGTGGCCACGGTTGGACCTATAAAGGGCCCGAAACATTGGTTTAGTTTGAAAAAAAAAAAAAAAAGTTAGTAGTTAGTTTGAAAAACCTGGAAACTAATTCTATTTTAATTTACAATTACAAAGCTTTTCTTCTAAATACACTTCTGACACATAAAGAATGTAGAAAATAATCTTAGTACAGAGTACTAAAAAACGGACCTCAAAAGTTCGTGTAATTACATTTATTTGCCAAGTTTTATTGAAATCGGCTATCGGAAAGTGTGCGAATCCGGATTCATCCCCTAGTTTGTCACCCTTTAAATGGGACAAATACCGAGGTACCCAACAAAAAATAATCATCAAAATAGGTGCACAAATGCCGTACATACACACACAAAAAAAAACATACAGCTAAATTGAGAACCTCCTTTTTTTGAAGTCGGTTATTTACTTCGATCTTCCATGGTTTTAATCCTGGTAAATATTTAATATCAACAAACATCTTATTATAGAAGTGTGTACATTATTATTGCATCCGAGAGTTCATAATAATTTGGAACACATAGCGAGTACGTGGCGTAACTAACCATACTTGGAGCGGTTGAGAAGCCTATACTCTATTAAGACGCACTTTATTATCTATATGATAATTTAATAAGAACATTGTCATGAATCGTGTTACGCAACATCTATGTACTAAATTCGCACTGTACCACTTTGTTTTTTTTTCGTTTAAATCATGGTTGGTACGAGTAAAATGCTAACGACCCCATTTGTAGTAACGGTTACATAATAGGTGTGCAGTGTCGTTTCACTCAAAGAAAACAGGTTCTATTCTCCTGGTAATTTTCTATCGTTATTATTTTTCTTGGCATTCGTAGCAGCAAAGTGAATTACTACGGCGTAGCATTTAAACATGAAATAGCTACATGACTTATGGTAATGACATCGTAACACCAACTGATTGATTTTCAATTAAAATTACGCTATTGGAGTATGGTTGCATTAAAAAATTAACCTGATTTGTGTATTTATATGAAAGTTGCTTTTATATGAATTACAACTTTAGATTTGGCCAGACATTATAGAATCATCAAATGTGACGTAATTTTATTGGTTTTATAATTTATAGACTCGCGAACAAGACGATTCATCATCATCATAATCATCAGTCGATTAAACGTCCCACTGGTGGGCACGGGTCTAGTAGAAACCGCATTAGTTCAATGCAGGTCGAGGATTTAACTAGTTAACAAATTAAAAAAAGAAAATTAACATAACTTATTAGTTTAATATGATTAATAAATATTAAATGCGAAGATCAAACACAAAGAAAAAATCCTTCGACCCGACAGTACCTGACTCTGGGACCTTGGGATTTCGTCCCCCTTTTTCTTCCAATTAAGCTACAGGTTGAGTTTACTAAGTAGACGAATTTATTCTATGTCTGTTATAGATTTGCATTGAGTTTTTTTGGCTTTCTGCTTCTTAAATAATTATAACAAACGAATGCAGTAATTTTACATAAAATGAAACAAATCAATAATGTATGATTAATGAAGTTATGTTCATACATGAATGTACGACGAATTGATGACCTTTTGCTGTGGACCCGACTGCCTCTATCTTTCTACATTAGTTTTGATTATAATGACCCTCCCTACCCCACCCTTAGGGTATACGAGAAGGGCACTAGAACCTGTGCATTAACAGGAAACTTCGAAGTTCAGGTTCCGACCCCAGATCAGCCAGTGTACAGGGTTGTCAAAGACCGTTGTCACATGGGGTCCAATTTCGTTCGCCGAAACAATTACTGTCAAGAAGGGCATGACTTCATCCAGTTCTCTAGAGGCTAGTGTCTCGTATTAGCTGGCCCCGGTGCACGTATAGTGTCCTCCCTGTTTTCCAGATAGGTACCGGAGCTGTAGCTGTAGCCCTTTCACAGTGCCGAAGCGGCTACGAGCGGGTAATCTACACGAGTGGCGGCTGCGATTCGACGTGTGGTTCTACCGGCTTATAGCCGCTTCGGCACTGTGAAAGGGAAGACGCTAAGACCTGCGCGCCTGCACTTTGAGCCCTAATGAGCCCTAACGGTTGCCACCGCTAAGCCGTCGACTCTAAAGTCGACTCCCAAATCTCCAGATAGTCAATTGCTATAATAATGTGCTTTCTTGTTTCAGGCTTCAATTTCTTCTCTGTTAGCCTTTACCAACTTGCCAACTAGTTGGATTCTTGATTTAGATTTATGTTTATATATATTATTTGCTGCAGGAGCTGGAGCGGAACACGAACCAGGCGGAGCTAAACACCATAGCGACTTACTACTTCGATGGGCAGGGCAAGGCGCTGCGGCCCATGGTGGCCATCCTCATGGCGCGAGCCGTTAATTATCATGTATACGGCGAAAACAGGTTAGTGTACACAGTTATTAAATTTAGAGTTGTGGTTACATTTAAGAATATTTATTTCTCACGAGAATTACATATTCTCTAAATTAACTAATTCAAGCTTACAGAACGAATGAAATGCGTTAACATAAAAAGTCAATGTAAATACATATATTTAGGTAGACAAAAATTCAAGCGAACACAGATATATGACGCGGGATAGCGTACTAGATGCGGCAATGACATGTTCAGAAATGTATAACTATAATTTTTTTTTGTTATTTTTTATGTTCACAATATTTTATTACTTTATATACGCACATGAATACTTTATATACATACACATATTACGATAATGGAATTATACTGATGTAATCAGCGCAATAGACTACAAAACATTACAGGTACATTCAATTGATTTATTTTTCTGTTTCCTTAGATTTCTTGTCCGGATTCTGATGAAAGTCTGTTCCATTTCAATATCCCATTATATAATTAACAGTTGTCTGAAAAAACCACGATTTTACAGCACATCTTTTTGAAAGTAAAAACTTGATATTTTTCAGTAATTAATAGATTCAGGCGTTACTTTGCGGAAGTCCATGTTAATAAATATGGAAGTAAATTAATTTGCTACTCCGCGAACCCAGTGAAGGTTAAATCGTGCATCTATAAGCTCACCTGTGACACATGTAACAGTGTATATATAGGTCGAACAGGGCGTAACTTTATAACTAGATATAAAGAGCATGTTTCTTCGTTTAGGCATAAGCACCAGACAGGTTCAATTTCGCTAAACATTTGTTAGAAACAAATCATACTTTACCAGATTATCATTCGAAATCTTACATTTTTGCGAAAAAGGGCTACGTCTGGGTGTCTAAGAACAGATGGAAATAATTAGGTACAACAACAGGGGTTGTATAATTAATGAATTTTGCATCATCACCTTTTTTACGGGTATTTTCGGGTTTCAACAATAGCAACACTGGGGGTAGCGGGGTATAAATACATCAACCGTTCTGAAAGAGCTCACTCTAAATCCGAGCATCGAGCAGTCAACAGCCCCTTAGGACGCCTCGTGGAGAGGCGAAACACGTGTCGTGTATATTTTTGGTGATGGTTTGTAGCCATAGTTGCGCTTGTGTTATTTATTTTATAAATTTTATGCGGAGGGAGGGTGGCATAATTAACTGCATGAAAAAATATTCAACACAAGCGCAGTTATTTTGCACGACTTAACCTTCACTGGGTTCGGGGAGTAACAATTTACTTTCATTTTTATTGATATTTTTCGACGTAACAGAGCGAATAAGCTAAAATAAAATAAAATTTTGAGCAATGTGGCACAATAAAAAAAATGCTAATATCTGAAGGATATTCAAAACATAATACATTCTCTCAAGTTTTACTTGCAAACTAGTTACTTACTTCCCTGGACGAACTCTTTCACAAGGAGCTCTACTGATACTAAATCTGCTTGCTTGAATTTCTTTTTCAAAATGGCGCTTTCTTCCTTTCTGCAAAACACCGATGATATATGCGGTGGTGGAGCGGACGAACTTGACCTTAAAAATTCCTGTTAAATTCTTGTCTGTCAGTGGGGAGATGATAATCTGGTCGAGTTCAACGCCACCAAAACGCAGGCCTGTCTGTTTACTGCTAAAAGGAGTCAATTTGATCTGACTCCCACTTTTCGGGGTATAACCGTCTCTCTTATCGACAGCCTAGATCTCCTCGCAACCCTTGACTTTGGCGCTTATATTGAATGTAAGGCACAAATTGCAGCCAAAAAACTGGGTATCCTTATATGCATGGAGTACTGCAGTCACCTGTGGGATGACTGAGCGAAGTGTCAACTTGAGGCTTTTGATTCGATTGAGCGTAGCGCCAGAAGACTTATTGGCGACGTTAAGCTCGAATCTAAAGTTCACAGTTTAGCCCACCAGCGCAAAGTTGCCCGTCTGTCGGTTTTTGACAGAATATATTTCGGTGAGTGTGCCCATGAGCTCCATCAGCTCATCCCGCCCGCCCCCTTTTACCATCGGACATCCAGACGTACGGCGGGATATCTTACTTGGTCGATATTCCCTTCAGGCGCACTAAGCGCTTTTCATCATCTTATATTGTACGCATAGCCTAGGAATGGAATTCCCTGCCTGCGTCTGTATTTCCGAATTCATACAACCCGGGTTTCTTTAAGGAGCGACTGAATAGGCATCTTCTGGGCAAGCTCGTTCCGTCGTAGATCCTATCTTTGCTCCAGAGCTAGGTAGTGGTAAAGAGCAAGTCCATCTAATTAAAAAAAATGCTTGTCTAGATTCAAAACTACCAACAGCTGTTGTGAGCTCTTGAATGACAGTAATATTACAATAAATGACGTAAGTAGTATATCCGCCTCCAGATGAGGATGTTTTCTCTAGCGCATTTCTAGTGCATTTACGTGGCATTGAACCACATTGAAACTCTTTATGCAACAGTGTAGCGAGAAAGCGACGAAAGTCCAATATTTGCTTGGAAAAGTGTTAAACCACCGTGTCTCCGGCCCTTAGAGGCCATAATTGCCGTTGAACCGCTTAACCACATTGCGAAACAAAACAAAGTAAATTATCCATTATAGCCCTTAACGTAAATACGGTTTTTGAGTTACTTTTGGAAGCAATAATTTCGTTTGTTATGTAATTAGAGCGTTGGTTGACCAATGGGAGAATGGTTGCTTCTCAATTTACGGTTTGAATCTCTGACTGTACGTACCTATAACTTTAACTTCTAAGTTACGTTAACGGTGAAAATAAATAGAATAGAAATAAAATCGGCTTCATTAGACATGCAAATGACATAAATTACTAACAGTTATAAAAAAATACATAATTCTTTCCTAACACAAAAAAACAACGTTAATAGAAAACAAGGAAGAGGATAGAAAAAAAAATTCAAATTCGCCACCCTACGGGAAATGTGTAGTGTGTAGTCCCCAGTACGCATAAGGCCAGCGTGGTGCATTATAGCTTAAACCCACTCCTTAGAGGACGCTGAAGGAGGATATGAATTTTTGGCCAATCAAAATAGTATAGCAAAAAACATGGTTACTTTGTGAAACCACTTCATCATCATCTACGAAAAATAATATGGAAAATCAATTGACTATCAAAAGAAATATTTTTTAAGATTTAATTTTGTCCTGTCTGTAGTTCACGTACTGGTTTTCACATACCACTGTAGACAGATGAAAAACCCACATGTAGAACTCCACTCACGTTTGGTATTATTTCAATAATTGAATAGGTAATAAACATTTGTGAATTGCGTTCACGCATCTCGTGCGCCGCGGGCTAGCAGATCACACATCGGGAATATCTAAGCAAATTACGTAAATAGGGCCAAGTTACTGCTTATAAATAAATGTAAGTTGCAAAAATTAATATTAAAATTTAAGCGTTTTAATTTAAAGTGATATATACATGTAACAATTTAAATTTGTTCCTTGTTTAAATGCCATAATAAAATAGAGGTAATTTCCAGGTTTGTTTTCTGTACCTAATTTCGGTCGCAATTTTTATTGTTTAAGTATTCGAGTATTTTATAGTGAAATATTAAATAATATTTCAGAATTCTACTGTCGAATATTAAATAATATTTCATGATAATGTTCCAGATTATTTAAGTAATAATAAAAGTTGCCACCAAAATTAAGTAGAGAAAACTAACCTGAAAATTACCCATACCAAATTGAAGGCATACAGATACGGCATTATACAGTTGGCAAAGTATTTAGAACTTAAAGGTGGAACACTATGCATTCAGTTAAAATACAGTCATCGGCAGATGTTACATGTGGTATAAATTTAAATATATACATGCAAGAGAGCTCATGCCTGCGCCGCCATGTCTCTTCATACTCATGGTGATGACAACAATGGCGGGCACTGGCTTTAACATTCGCCTTCTAGGCTATTTCGAATGTACAAAACTTATAGCTGATTTAGTGAGATAACAGATAGTTTAAAGAGCATCTCTGCAGTTGCGCAGGTGTCAAGGTCTCGATTATTTCATAATAGATTACTTTATTTCATTACACACTTAGACCTCAAAGGTGCTCAGGGCAGAATTTAAATAGAGGACAGTGATGAATGTTACAAAATAATAATAATGCTAGAATTTGTTGCAATTTTAGTGATAGTCAGATACAACAACATTAGCGGGAAGGTATGATTGTATGATCTTGAAACATTTGATAGTGCAAGTTAAGGTTGAAGCCTAGTTCGATATACAATTAAGTTGCAATGATTATTACTAACCTTGATGTAAGTTCTTTTACTAACATACATTTTATGGTCCTAAATAAAGAATTATTATTATTAAGGATGAGGTCAATGAAGATGTACGGTAATAAATAAATTATGAACAGTTTTCAAGTGATGCATGATGATCTTGATCCGTGTTTTTCTTAATTTTCTGGATATTATGTCGGATAACTTGGCTACTTTATTAGTTTCTATTTTTATTTTGTGGCAGTAAAGCTCCTTGTAAAAGAGTTCGTCCAGGGAAGCAACCTTACCTTTTTCTGCCGCCACGTAGTAATGTGAGCATTAATGCGTTCAGGTTTTGAAGGGTCAAGGTACTGGTGAAATTACGGACACATGGAACTTGTCACGCTGGTGACGGGCGCAGTGACCGTGCTCCTCAGATCTTCGTTATTTAAAGTTCTGAGTAGCACTCCAACCGCTATAGACAGGCGACACCGCTTACCATCAGTCGCATGACTTGTTCGTCCCTCACTTGGTGCTATAAAATATATATAAATACGTTACTTGTAAAACAAGAAGTTAATACCAGGTTTATTTACACATTATTTTGTGATGTCAGTGCACTGCTGCCTTCGCAGCGACAAGTGGCGATGATCAGCGAGATGATACACTCGGCGTCGCTCATCCACGACGACGTCATCGACCAGAGCGACTTCCGCCGCGGCAAACCCTCCGTCAACGTGCTTTGGAACCACAAAAAGGTACGTCTCATATTTGTACTTATAGTAGATTTTATATAATTGTATTATTCAATGTACAAGCGACATGTATGACATTTATAATTTACAAAGATAGATAGTATATGCGCTTTGTTTTCTAATTAAGGCTTATTTTAGTTGCATGTGAAAAATATCGACGTTTCGTTTCTTGTTTCGGTTTAGTTACGTGTTTGAAAAATAATGGCATATAAAAACAACATATTTTAAAACAATTTTTTTTTTGCTAAATTTTACTTACACATAAAGAACGACATAGTTGTAGTTTTTTTCACATCAGCTTAATTTAGTCTTCTCTTCGTTCTTTTAAAGACGTCGTACATCATCGTTCCATGACAAGTCATTATGCAAATATATTGGATCTTTATTACACGTCTTCATATGACAGACAATAATTTGCTAAGGAATAATTATCTACGTATTTTATTCTGTTTTTAAATGGGACTTTAAAACATTATTTTTCTGTAAAACCTTTATCACATTGTACGTTATATTTTAAAATTATACGATGCGACGTGCACGTTTTATGTAATACACATAAATTAGTAAGGGCTTTATAAGATTTTATTATAACATTATAAAGGCCTAGCCTTCATTTGGCTATAACATCACGTAGCGGGGAATTTGCGTCAATATACATAAGATCATCGCATCACGCCTCATCATCGCATTATGCCACAATCCATATTAAAGTATCACTCCCATAAATAACTATTGATTTGTATTCTGTACGCCGATTGAAAGAATGCAAAGCGTATATCCCATTCATTAATGAGAATGACGATCTAAGATTATAACAGCATGACGTGATCTGACAAGCGGGTGTCATGGAACATTTGCTAATTTTTTTTTGTATTATTTTATTGTTAGCATTGCGTTAGACTCGATTTGTGCTACACGCAGTTCCTTTCTAGCCGCGTTTTATTTAAGTTGGGTGAATAATTAAACTTAATTATACTCTCAGGAAAGTGTAATTTTTAATTACAATCATCATCCATAGCGCAACTTACAGCCCTACCTTTCTTAGTTTATGACATCCACTACAATTCTGCATCAGTCTCATTCGTCTACGGCCTATGATTTTGACGATGTCTTCTATCTATCTCGCTGCAGGACGTCCTATATTTTTGAAATCGCTTCTAGGCCATCATTCGTGTCTCGCCTTACTCAATCTGTGCCTCGCAATATATCCTGCCCAGATCCATTTTTGCTCTGTTCCATCTCCTACATCTTGTGTATACTGTACACAGCTTTCTGTATATAATTTATATCTTTATATAATTTTTCTGTAGGTAATTTTTAATCTGAATATTAATAAGTGTTTATACGCAGGAAGCCTTACAAAAAAGTATTAGTGCGAATAAATAAATATTGAGAAGATGATTTAACGTTTTTTACATTGTGTCTCAAACGATTAAAATTTTTACAATATCGATGCATCATGACAGCAAATTATGCGTATTTCTGGTTAAACAGTTCCTAATTGTGTTATCTTGTGTAATTAGGTCAATTTAAGTATTCTTATGCATCTTTTATTTAATTGTACAACAAGAGAAACAAATGAGAACTTGGCAGTTTTTTCACATTTTTTAGTTTTTGGTACAATTTTTATTTTATCATTAGATGATCTCGAATCAGTGAATTCAAATGAATCTTAGTTTGAATCTCGCAAAGAGGGCACATAAAAGCCGTTGGAGCACGTATCAATACGGTAATCTAGGCTACAAGGTCGACAATTTGTATGGAATAATGTCGCCGTCCATCAGGAAGCTAGCTTCGTGGAATGAATAAAACACGCGTTAACAATTTTATTGTGACAAAGTCCTTAAAGTTGGAGATTTGCAATTACGTTGCAGCTTTGTAGTAAAATATGTGCAACACTAAAATATAGCAATACGGATCAAGAACGTAAAAGTTCTATTCCTTCTCAAACTTCTATAAACAAGTAACCTTGTCGCAATATACTATCTCATAGCAACGTACGAACGTATCTAATGATGTAAAACATTTGTCTTCGGCTATAACAAATCTGTAATTGGAATTCCCGACTCGTACAGAGCCGTTAGTACCACGCTCAATGTCCATATTAAGTGTTTTCATTGATAGAAGCGTCTCTTGCTAGGCGACAAGCTATTTAAGAAAAGGGAAAGAAAAATTATTTATTCCGTTACAAATTTATAGCATAGTACACACATATAATATAATTTAACACATTATAATACATTAATTTTTTTTATATAATATCAAGTGACGGGACGAACAAGTCGCGCGTCTGGTGGTAACCGACCCGCCTATCCACAACAGTTCCATTGTCACTCAGAGCTTTAAATCGCAAAGATCTTAGGCGCACTGCCACTGCGCCCGTCACCCTGAGACATAAGTTGACAAGTTCCATGTGCTTGTCATTTTTTCAATTTTATTGAAAAAATTATTTATTTTATTGTAAAGGTCGGCGTCGGCATATATATCTCCATCAGATAATGGAATTCAAGGAGGTCAAAAGAAACCAGAATTACGTAATGCCGTCTCTCCAGGGAGACATACCTGCCAAGCGAAGCCTGAAAAACCAGAAAATTGCTGAGCCTCTTGCGTTCAATTCATTCGGCACAGTTTTAAGCAATTATTTTAAGTGATACCTATAATATGTTATGAAATAGTCGTTTTTATGTATAGTAGAATACTTTAAATTCAAAACTTCTTGCAAAAATAAGAGACTATTACAAATACTAGTAAATCAGTCAAGTAATAAATTAATTAAAAACCACTATAAGTCATATATTAAAATATTAAAAAAATGCATTAAACATTCCAAAAAAAATGTCTACATAAAAAAAATGAAAGAATCGGATAATAAGGCAAAATGTATGTGGAATATAATAAAACAAGTAACTCAAAATAAATCAGCTAATAATAATATCTATAAAAATATACACTTGAAACCTAACGACACTACAATAACGTGTCCCCAATTAGTTGCAAATGAATTTAACAAGTTTTTTATTTCAATCGGTAGGCCCATAAATAAAACTCAACTAGACAAAATTCCTGTAATACCCAATCCAACAATAAATTCAATATTCCTAAATCCAGTATCAGAAAAAGAAATGAACGGCCTTATCAGAAAACTTCCCAATAAATACAGCCATGGTTATGATGAAATACCGACGGTTTTGATAAAATTTTGTCGCAATGAACTCGCACCAATACTTGCCGCTCTTGTGAGTCAGTCTTTCGAACAAGGCACTTTCCCGGAGAGGCTTAAAATAGCAAAAATCCAACCCATTTTAAAAAAAGGTGGCAAATCGGAACACCCAAACCAGTACAGACCAATTGCACTTCTTCCCATAATATCGAAATTGTTTGAAAAATCGATGTCAAATCGCATCTATTCCTATCTGGAAAAATACGAGATTCTTAACGAACATCAATACGGCTTTCGCGAAAAACGTTCGACCGTCCTCGCAACATTTAATTATGTACAGGAGAGTATGAACCATATACGCGACAAATGCCATGCAGTAGGTTTACTCCTGGACATGTCCAAAGCCTATGACAGGGTTGACCATGAAATACTGTTATCAAAGCTACGTGGAGTTGGTATTCGCGGAGGTGCACTGAAATGGTTTAAATCATATTTACACAGTCGACGACAATTCGTTCAGATTAAACACTATAATGACAAAACACGAATACTTAAACCTTTTCAATCAGAGACCACAATTATAAACCATTCGATTCCACAGGGGAGCGTTTTGGGTAGTGTTTTGTTCCTAATATACATAAACGATTTACCAAAAACCACAGACACTAAATGTATTCTTTTCGCTGATGATGTCTCTCTGTTATTTAAATGCCCCAAAGATGTTGACTGCAGTCCCATAATTAATTCCACATTTAATTCGGTGAAAAATTGGCTTAAAGCACATAATCTCGAAATAAACAAAAATAAAACTCATCTTATACAGTTTCATCCGTATCAAAAACAACCAATCAGTCTAAATAGCGTAAAAACCACGCATAATATTCAGGAAGTAACTGATATACAAATGTTGGGCATAACCATCGACTCGCATTTTAACTGGAAAGCCCACGTAGATAAAATTAAGAAGCAATTGTCGAAATTCACTTATGCCCTTAGCATCCTAAAAGCGAATACGCACACAAATTGTGCTATGTCTGCGTATTATGCGTATGCATATGCATGGATCCGTTATGGGATTATTCTCTGGGGACAAAGCACTGATGCGCAGGATCTGTTTGTCCTTCAAAAAAAATGTCTCCGCATTATAGTAAATATCCGTCAGCGGGAGAGCTGCAAACCACATTTTATAAAGCAGAATATGCTTACCCTCCCATCCATTCATATCATGGAAGCAGCATTATTTGTCAGGAAACAGCCGACTTATTTTAAATTTAACAGCAATCCCCGCCGCCGACATAATCTAATCGTTCCTGCACCAATATTGGAACTCTACAGAAATAGTCCACTGTATAGCTCGAGTTCAATATATAATAAAATTCCCTTACTAATCAGAAAAGAACTTAACATTAACACATTTAAAAATAAATTAAAAGCATATCTGATCAAAAAATCGTACTATTCAATAGAAGAATTTTTAAACGAAAAATAAAATTTATATTTAGAACTACTCACGGTCACAAATGTTATAAATTTTAATTTGATTCCCCCAAAATTATTTGTTGTTGTATTGTAATCTTATGTAACTTAGGACTTAAGACTTGCAACACCCTAACAGGGTAATGTACATACCTATTCTAGAAATAAGAATTTTTGAATGTACATATGCAATATAATGAATAAATTAAATTAAATAAAATCCAAAGTTCAGATGAGTCACAAAGTACTTAGTTTTGCTTCTGTTCACCGAATGACTGTACGTAACCAGTGTCCACTGCCATTCTTTATTTAAAAAAATACATTTTCTTTTTTCAAAATGGCGCCGCCGTTGTTTTTGTGCCACCTT